AGCCCGAGGCAGAGTTGCTCTGCCCCAGGCTTCCTGGAATCAGCCACTGATCAGTTTCAGCAGCAGCTGACTTGGGGACGCCTGGGTTTCTTAAGTTGAATCTGTATGTAAGTCGGAACTGGCGTCAGCCGCTGCTGAAACTGATCAGTTTCAACCGCGGCTGAATCTGGACGCCAGTTCTGACTTACATACAGATTCAAAGCCCGAGGCAGAGTTGCTCTGCCCCAGGCTTCCTGGAATCAGCCACTGATCAGTTTCAGCAGCAGCTGACTTGGGGACGCCTGGGTTTCTTAAGTTGAATCTGTATGTAAGTCGGAACTGGCGTCAGCCGCTGCTGAAACTGATCAGTTTCAACCGCGGCTGAATCTGGACGCCAGTTCTGACTTACATACAGATTCAACTTAAGAACAAACCTACAGTCCCTATCTTGTACGTAACCCGGGGACTGCCTGTATAAGGAAAACTGCTTATTGGGAGAAAATGATGTAGATGAAGATGTGGACAGGGCTGAGTGGATCAACTGAATAGTAATTTAAATAATTCACTTTGCAATGCATCATTCTTTAAGTCTCTCTTCATGCCTTTAAGTATAAGTGTGACAAGTAAATTACTAAGCTGTTTGTATGTTGGATGTTGCCAGAAATAAAGGTTTAGCTTAGCTAATTCTTATATCTTATTTAATTAGATAACTAGGTTTAGAATCTCTCTCTCAAGTATACAGTACAGAAAGCTGCAGTAAGGGAAATCTATAGAGTTGCCAGTTGCCACTGAGTGTCATTTTCTTATTTTATATTACATATAATAAATTACCCTTATTTTGGAACATCATGGCCATAGATCATGATGGTGATGCCATAAATCTATTCCCTATTTTACTTCAGCATAACTCAGCTTTTCTAAAGGAACCTTATTCTATATTTGTTTTCTTTAAAAAAAAAAAAAAAAAAGTGCCAGTGAGTTCTATGGGGCTTGCTCTAAAAATACGAGCACTCGAAGCACAATCAGTCTTAACTATTTTGGTAACTTGATTTAAATAAATGATTTTTTGTGTGTGATTTAAATGGTAATTTAAATAAATGGTTTAAATCACCTTAATTTAAATCCATCCACCGTGTGGTGATTGGACAAGAAAGGTAATACAATCTGTGGGGTGTGTGATACAGAGGCACCAGTCGGAGAGGAGCCTGGTGGATGGGAGCAAGTACGTGTGGAAAGCTGGCTTTTAAGCCGGCTGCTCGCATGTTCCAGCTCCTGTGGATCCATCTGTCCCCCCTTGCTGCGCTGCTGCCTCTGTATCAGAGGTAACAATGTGGGGGGAAAGACCAGAGGCATGGGAGGGGGAGGGTAGGCGGCTTATGCATGGAACGTGCAGGGAGTGGGCTTAAAAGCCTCTTCCCTGCATGTAAATGTGTAACCACTGAAACTTGCAGCAGTTACATGTTTATCTAAATAAACACATTTTAACATCATTAATGCCCGTTGAAGGTCTTATTCTGCCTAGAGTAGGCAGAGCAAGAACCACTCTTGTTGCCACAATGAATGTGCAAACCTATGGAATCAGGCATACAGAAAAGATTCTTTAGTGTCTGGTGTGCACTTTTTTAGGTTATTGATCTGTTTCAGGATATGGAGGCATTGGCACAGCTCTCCCACAGCTGGGAAACTCTTATAGCCCAAAGTCCAAAAAGTTAAAGAAGTGTGCCTTGATCTATGGACTTTTTCTGGCATGTGTGGAGCTGGATATATGCAGCTTCACCTTGGCTGCCTGGATCAGAAACCTTGAATCTCAGTTGTCAGCCAGGGACTCAGAGAATGAAAGGCTGAGATTCAAGGTGAAGGGCTTGGTAATGCAGAATAAAACCTTAATGTGACTAGTTGAGAGCCACCTCCCTCAAGCAATGAAGCCCATAGGATAAGCAGGGAGACTGGCACTGGCAGCAGGATTTGGGTCCACCTCTTGCCCCAACACTTATCAGCATTGGTGGGAAACAGAGTGATCTATCCCCAGCCCCCTCCCCCGACTCCTAGCCAGGCTGCTTCACTTCCTGCTGCCAGTGAGTACAGGTGTGTCCCTACCCCTTCGCCCAAGCAATGCAGCTGAAAGTCAGTGGAGTTGAGTAGGCTGGGTTACTCTGCAACCCACCACTGTTAGTGAGTATAGGCCCAAGCCCTGCTGCTAGTATCCTAGGCTGCCTTGGATACTGTGTGACCCATAAAGCACAGGTCCTGGAGTGGTTGCCCCAAACCATCCTATGAACAGCTCTGAATCTAACAGTGCACAAAAACATCATGGTGAAACAGTTCTTCCAATTCCCATGGTAAAATAGAGACAGATACAGCAATTTTCTGTTTTCCTCCTCAGGGACATAATTACCAGATTATCTAGTTGCAAGACCATAAGCATTTAGTTTCCAGTTCCTTTCTGCCTTTCTTCCAGGGTCCTACTCTCCAGACCACCTACCTGAGAGGGATCAGCAATCTCATGAGCTTTGCTCCAAAATATAGTCCAACAAGTCAGCCCTTTTCAGCCTCCTATCACTGGCTCTACAGCTTAAGAAGATCAGCCAACTATTCTCTCCACTGATCTCATAGACACATTCCCACGGAGGGCCTACATAGTTTTCCAGTCCCTGCAGGTTCTCTATTTCTCCCAGGCAAAACTCTCCTGATGATCTTTTTGCTTTCAATATGTGCTTTCAGGCAACTCTCTCCTGTGTTCTGTGTATGTGGCTGTGCTAGATAGGAATGCTGGCCAGACTCGGTGACTAAAGGGTTAAACTCAGATAGCTGAGGCTATGTCTACACTACGGGGTTTTTCTGGGATACCTTTGGTATCCCAGAAAATACTCCGCAGCATCCAGGGAACGCATCTGCTCTTCCAAAAAAATTTTTGGAAGAGCAGAAATGCTTTTTCAGCATCCCGGCAAACCTCATTTTACGAGGAAGAAGGGATGTTCCAAAAAAGGATTTTTTTTCTGATATTTGTCCCGGTGTACATGGGCCTTTTTCCAATATATCATGGTAGTGTAGACATAGCCTAAGGGCATTGGCAGGGGGCCAGAAAAACCAATAGGATACAGTGCTGAAATTTAAATCCTGCTGCCCTTTCTCTTTGTGTGAGTTCTAAGTTAGGAGCTGGAGGAACAAGATGAAATTATCAACCAGAATTACCATGCCTACAAGAAACATTGACACAGGAATGGACTGGGCCTTGGGGTATGGATCAGTAAGGATTGTGAGTAGAGGGAATGTATATTTAGTTGCAATCAGGTTATTTTTCTTTATTGTGCTGTTTTGTAAAACTTCTCTATGCAAAATCCATGTGCCTCCCTCCCCCATTCACTATACCCCAAGTTGTGCCCAGAAATATCATTTTTTTCTGTTGGAATCTGCTCTTTTCTTAGTTGCTCTGTAATACATAGCAACCAAGTATGCTTTATCAAGTATACCTTTTGTTTTATTAATAAAATCACCTTTTTTTAAGATGATGATTTGATACTTGTGTCCTGGAAGGTAACAGGAGGTCTGTGTGGGTGCCTGCCTACTGAAGGGCCGTCTATCTGAATTGTAGCTTGTATCCTGTGGGGGTTTTTTGTTTCTTTTTTTCAAGCTCCCTTGTGGCAAAAGAGCATGGATTACCCCTTGGGAATAAATTCAAGTGTTTCTTTCTGTTTTTTTCAGGTATTAAATCACTTGATGTTGTTAGCTACCTTGGGGAGCTTTCAAGCAGAACCCTATAGAGAGAGGTAAGGTATTTTAAGGTCTCTTGCGGGCCCTGATCATCTGCATTCGAAGTGCCAGAATGGAGAACAGTCCTGACAGTGGCCCAAGTGACTTTTAGCCCTAGCTGGGAGGCAACTAATCTGTTGCAGATGTACTGGACCTTATTCCCTTTCAAAGGAACCAGTTACCCTGTGACAGCGGGTGACATTGTCTAAGTGACAGGCTAAAAGAATGCTCTTTGCTGCTGCATTGTAAATGGATGTAAGTGGGGCAAGCCTTCATTTGTTAAGAAAAATTGATGTTGCGGTAATTAAGATGTGAGAAGATGATGAACCTGGATAAGAGATTTAGCTCTGAAGATGAATATGATTGACTGTATCTTAGATACATTATGTAGAAAAAAAATCCTCAATACTTACAAATGGCCTGAATGTGGGGATCTACAGAGACAGAAGATAGCACCCAGGCTATGGACAGTTATAGACTGGTGGTATGGTCCACAGTGACCAAGAAAGGACGTGGGGAAAGAATGAGAACTTTGTTGTAGCCATGCTGTGCTTGAGTTGACAGCTAAAGATCCACGAGAAGATGTCACAGAAATAGGCTGAGATTTTAGTTTGGACCAAAGTAGATAGGTCTGGAGTGGAGAGACAGATTTATGAATGGTTGGCATGGAGGTGGTAGTTGGATTTGGTTTTGAGATGGGATTACTCAGCGATGAATTGTAGAGCGAGAAGAGAAGGGGACCAAGGACAGAGTCCTGTGTAACACCATAGAAAGTTGGAGGGGGGATGAAGAGCAGTTAGAGAGGTAGGAAGAGATGCAGAAGAGAACAGAGTCATGGAAGCCCAGGGAGGGCAAGACTTCAAGAAGATAAGCAAGTTTGACTGTGTTGAAGGCAGCTGGCAGATCGAGGAGGGAGTACTTTGTCTAGAAAAGGTTCATTAGAGAATTTAGCATGAATATTGTGATGGGATCACCTGTGCGTATAGCCTGGGATTGTGGGATTGCTGTGTCCCTTAAGTCTCTCCAGCCTGAGCTGTCTCTCACAATGTCTTGCTAGTGACCGACAGCAACCACTCCAGGAACTGTTATCACACAGCACTGCTACATGTGGAGCTAACACCCAGGCAGATTGCATAAATGCTCCCAGAGCCACTTGTGAATCTCTCAGAGTAAGGCACCAGCCAAATCTGCCCCCTCTTCCTCTGCTCTCAGTACTATACTTCAGGGATATACTATCTAATTTATTAATTGGTTCACCACTTCATTGATTGAAAGTGCACATAGATGAGCTTTTGTAAAACCTGAGCAAATTTGCCACACACTTCACACAAACTCACTGGTAAAGGTAAACAGTAAATGAGTTTATTGATTAAACTGATAGAATTTAAATTACTATTAGTGTTAGGAAAAAGAGTAGTTACCAAAAGAAAAGAAAATGTAAACACTCAGTCTAAAGTCTCAAGCCTATTAGACTAGGCAACAACTGGATCAAACAGTTTTTCTCACCCTGCTGGACATTGCAATCCATAGTACACAGACTTTACCCTTGAAATCTGAGTCTGTTCCCTCACCTGGAATCTTCACAGTGTTGTTGTTTGGTTTTTATACCCTCAATCCATATTCTTGAGAAACACAAGTCCAGGCATGTATGTGGCATTCGTGACTTTCCAGGTAAAGTTGAGCAATTCCCGTTGTGTGGCCATATTCAGGTGAGTTATTGCATTGTAGCTCCACTCCTGGACAATGGCCATTGACACCCCACCAAAGCTTTGTTAATCTTCTTGCTGTTGTCTCTTGGAATCTAATATCTGGCTGATTCCCCAATTTACAGCATGTTTTAGTGACAACCATACCATAAAGTCACATAATTTCATATGCATTGATGATATACATAGAGGTTACGTTTAGACTGGCATGATTTTCCGGAAATGCTTTTAACGGAAAAGTTTTCCGTTAAAAGCATTTTCGGAAAAGAGCGTCTAGATTGGCATGGATGCTTTTGCGGAAAAGCGTCCATGTCAATATAGACGCTCTTTTGCGCAAAACAAATCTCAGCTCTCTACACTGGCCCTTTTGTGCAAAAGTTTTCCACAAAAGGGACTTTTGCCCAAACGGGAGCAGCATAGTATTTCTGCAAAAAGCACTGATTTCTTACAGTAGGATGTCAGTGTTCTTGCGGAAATTCAATCGGCCAGTGTAGACAGCTGGCAAGTTTTTCCAGAAAAGCGGCTGATTTTCCGGAAAAACTGGCCAGTCTAGACACAGCCATACAGACAGAGAAATGACTATCAGGAGATTATAACTTTTCCCTTGATACCTTACAAGGCATGCTTTATAAGTAAGATTATGATGATATAAAAATGGGAAATATAGGGGTTATAGAGTGCTCCCCCAAGGTATAGATTGTCACAAATATATTCAATGGAGTGAAAGAGCATTAACTAGAATGGAGACAGCCAGTGATTGTAGACAGTACATTCAATAAGCTTTGAGATGAAAGAGAGAATGGAGCTGGGATGGTAGTTGGAGAGTCAAGTGTGTCTGAGGATTTTTTTTAAGATGGAAAAGGGAAACCATGCTTATAATCTGATGGGAAAGAAACAGAGGAAAGTGGCAAGTTAAAGAGAAGAATTAAGAGGTGTTACCCTAGAAAAGGGGGGCTGTATTATAGTTTAGTTCAGTGGGCTCCATTTGAAAGAGACAGTTTCTTTTCTCTACATGATGGAGGTTTTTTCCCGCTAACCTGTTGATTTGCACACGGCACTACCTTGTGCACCCCTCTCAAGCAGGCTGTGCACCCGTTACTATCTGGTGCACTCAGCACCAAAACCACTGCACACAGCCCCTAGGAAGCTGCCCTCAACCCCTAAGTTCATTAGCATATTTTTCCTGCCTCTGGGCCAATAAGAGCCCTGAGGTATCAGGGGCTTGGGTCCTTGGATTTTCCCCAGCCTTGGTTTGTTTTTGTTTGTTTTTGTTGTTGCTCCTTGTATGGTTTGCCTGAAGCTTGGATACCATCTATGTAATCAGAGGCCTGGACTTTTGAACTGTGCTACCCTTGTGTGGTAAATACCCACAAGGTTTTCCTGTCTGCACTGGTCACTGGAACTGGGACTCTCTTTTCCTGTCATCTTTATTGGATTACTCACCTACTGGAGCAGACGGTGTTGTCGAAGGACAGATCAGACTGTGTCCAGAGGGAATTCCTTTCCAGATCGAGGATCCATATCGGGGTCGTCTCTTCACAGAGGACTCACTACCGTGGGATCTCCCTGCTTGTCCTCCCCAGAGGCTTACAAATAGCCCGAGGGTTGCAGGTCGCAGGCATCGATCGCCTCAGGCTTTGTATATACCTTATGTATTTAGGGAACTGTCCTATCTCCTTTCTTCGGGTTAGGGAGGGTTGGTTTGTTGAAAATTACTGTTAACTGTATATCTGTTCCATTATTTACTCAAAAATACATGGTTTGGCCCTAAATTGTGTATGCCTGATTTGTGGCTAAAGATCCACCGGTGATTAGATACGGCTCTCAGGACGGATCTCTCTTCTGTGTAGGGACTCCCTCTCCCCTTTTATATCCACTCCGTCGGCCATTTTGATTTAATTGTTTGTCCACGTCCCTAGGGCAACAGAGGTGATGAAAATAGGTATCAGGGAGATCAAGAGCATAGGTGTAAGTTCCTTTTTTGCATCACAAAAAATAGAGGCAGGGCTTTTGAGCCTAGATTGGTAGAAATTCATGCACATCTGTTTATGGGACATTTGGAGGTGTGCCAGGAATATTGTAGGGCAGGGGTGGGGAACCTAAGGCCCGGGGGCTGGATGCAGCCTCTGGCTTGCCTGGATTTGGCCCCAGAATTTGTGGCTCTGCTCCTGCATTTGGGAGCCACAGTGGGGCTCCAGCCCCCCAACACTCTGTCACACTGTGGGGCTGGAACACAGAGAATCTATTAGCCTGAGACCCCCTAGGCTCTGGGCTATGAAGGAAATTGGGGAGTGTCTTTCTCCTTCTCAGTCAGGGGACATATCAGTGAGGGTTTTTTTTTCTTTTTTGCTTTTCACTTATGCGTGGCCCCCGACCCAGAAAGGTTCTCCACCCCTGTTGTAGAGAAAG